ATGAATATGAGCTATTTCTATTATGCTTCATCTCATTAATGCTCACAATACTCTTCTGGAATAAGTGGAAAGTAAAGGAACTCTGGTGAGGTTGCATAGCTAGGCAGGAACAGAGAAGAACCTGCAGGAAAGACCAAGCCCATTCTTCTACACAACACTGCCTCCTACTGTCAAAACAGTAATTCACAGCTTTGAACCACAGAGCAATGCTCAGAAAAGGTCCATACATAACAGCAAGTGGGCAAACACTTTCAAACCAAACCAAACAAAAAGGTGGTCTCCATTGTTTCTTAGCTTTCTGGACAGCTATCCAGGCTGTTTTCTTTAGGGAAGGATGTAGATCGATTTCTGAGGCAGTAAAGAAATCATGGTTCTGGTCCTACCATACTAATAACCGTGTGGCCTAGGGCAAGTCATTCTCTGGCATTGAACTTAACTCCGTTGTCACTTTAGGTTCCAAAATGTAGGATGCCACTTAAAAAAAATAAAACATTGGCCAACTCACTTTAAGCTAGCAAAATCGGCTGACTAAGCATTACCTGGATCAAATCAAAGTTAAAATCTTAAATGTGAACAGGGCAGAATGATACAGCACATTTAGTAACGTAAAACTAAAGATCTGACCACGAGTAATATCTTAAAATGAGACTGCTTGTTTACTTGAGAAGGATACTGTCTGCAGGCAGACGTCTAAAATCTTGGAAGCGATTCTACCTTTGAAATAGTAGGAAAACAAAACAAAATATAGGATAAACAAATGAGTCTCCCCTCAGCAGGCAACTGTGGGCAGCAGCAGCAAATCACTGTTGAAGTGAAAGAACAGAGCAGCAGAATAGCGATGCAAATGTTGGGTTTTGTGTCCTGGTCTTGGCTAAAGAAATCTTGCTAGTTAATAAGATTCCTATTTGCTTAGTTGCTTTTGCTTTTAGCTTTGCACTAAGTGTTCTTTAGAAGGACCTATGGCAGGATAATTACTTAAAATAGCCCTGTGCTCCAGCGCACAGTCGCTGAGAATCACAGCCTCCAGCACCGTTCTGGCCAAGTTAGCCTGGGAGGGCGGGGTACCGCGGGGACGCCAGGGTCCCAGTGGGCGCTGCCGGGGGTGGACCACGTGGGCCGGAATTTGGGCAGGCTGCGCTCCACACTGCACCAGGCCGGGCGGGTGGAGGGGAGGGGGTCTTGGGCAGGCCTCAAGAGTGCACAACCTCGTAGGCGCGAGGGGAAAGGCCTCGCCTTAACCCTGAGTCCAGGGCCAGCGCTGGGCCCAGGTCGCGGCCGACTGTCCCACGCCTCAGGCCGGCTGCCCTGACCCTAGGCCTCCCCCGCTCCCCACTTACCAGCCGTTGACCTCATTTTGGGAGTTCACATCCACCCCGCTCTCCACCAGTTTCTGCACCTCCCGAATGTCCCCCAAGGCCGCGGCCTCCCGCAGCCTCTCCTGCTGCTCCTTCTGCTCTAGGAGAGCGCTCATCGTCCCCGCGGTCCCAGGCCCCCGCCCGGGCCTGCCTGCCCTGCCCCGCCCGGGCCTGTCAGCGCCTCCGCCGTCGCCGCGACCCGCTCCCAGCCATGTGGAGGGAGCACAGAGTTCGCCCGCCCCGCTCGCGCCGCCGCCTGCGCCCGTCCCGGGACTTCTGCTCCCTCCCGCGGGCCGCCCGCGGATCCCCGGCTACTCCCGGCCCACAGGGCCAAGCCTCCTCCCAGGCCGCGCCTCCCGAAGGCCGGCTCCGGGGGACCCTATTCAGTGTGACAATTCTGACCCAGATATTTTCCGTTCCGACCCACGGCCTGGGCGCCGGGGCTGACTGTTTATGTAACTACTGCACATTATTATCTGCCATGATTCATTGACTATTTTTAGACCTCCCTACCCCGCAGTTTCCAGGGAGGTGGACAGACACATGAAAAGAGAAAAAAGCATATTTGAGAGCCAGAAAAACCTTATCCTCTGGTGCAGGCTGTTTACCAGGCATCAAAAATAATTGGTAGGTTCTTTTCTATTGGGATTTGTGTTTTGTTTTGTTTTTTTCACCCGGCTTGGTTGGCTCATTTTCCTTATCTGAGCCAATTTTTGCCCAGCAGGATGGGAGAATGCGCTGAAAACAATCCTACTATGATTTGCCCATTATTGTGGAGATATTACACTGCTATTTCTTCTTTTTGAGAGTGCTTGGGACAATTGAGTTAGAATATTTATTTCAATTGCTGTTGTTTTACATCTCATTTTAGATAGATTTCCTCTAACTTGACTTTCAGGAAAAATATTAAGACTGTGCTTACAGTTTGTAAACTATAAACTACTGCCTATAAATCATAATTACTCTTCATGTAAGCCTTGCAAGGAAATTAAGAAAGGAAAAAAGAACACCAAAGTGGAGGTATCCAGCTCCTGATCTCAGGTGTCTGGGGAAGAGCTCTGGCGTGCACATAAACATCATTTTGTCTACTGTCTTGCTTAATCTATCTAATGACACTTAAAGCCTTGATAGTACTGCTTAATGCCCAGTAGTAAAAAAAGAAAATACTGTTTTGCTAAGCCCAGGTGCCTGGAAGAGATCCTCCCACGTGGCACACGATGGAACTTTGCAGATGGGGTCAGAAGGATTAAGGAAATAGCCCTGGGGAGGAAGAGAGGAAGGTCTGAACAAAGAGAGGAGATGAAATAGGAAGGGATAAATTTAGGCATGGAGTTTTCATTTCCGTCTCTTGGGGCTGCCAGGATCTGCACAGCAAGCATTTCTCTTGTTACTGTTTAAGAGAAACTAATGTCTGTTTGTTTATTATGAGACAGTAATTCACATGATACACAGTGCACACCAGGTGGTGCTGCATATAAACTGACTGCACACTTATATTGACCCCTATGGCAAAGTGATACTTTATTTGAGCTTACATTTTTATTTGTTCCCCCAATTTAAATTGTAATTCTCACATACACCATGATATGCCATCCGAAGCTGACATACATAGCACTGGAGTTGGTCCCTTTCATACATTTGAGTGACATGGGGGCAGGGAGTGGCCTTTAAAAAAAAAAAAAAGTAGTTTAAAATATTGTTAATGACTGCATTCCAAAGTCTATGAATTCTCATTATGAGAGTTATTTGTCAAATGTTCCTTCCTTAAGAGGATTAAAGCATGTGCCCTACCATAACTGTTGAATCAGTGAATATTAATATCTTCTTAAACTCAACCTCTATTTTTATCTAACTGCAGTATTCTTTCTTTCTTTTTCTTTCTTTTTTTTTTTTTGCAGCTTTTGCAATTTTTGGCCGGGGCTGGGTTTGAACCCACCACCTCCGGTATATAGGGCTGGTGCCCTACTCCTTTGAGCCACAGGCGCCACCCAGCAGTATTCTTTTTATTATCCTCAGATAAAACACAAAAACTTCCTCCACCAACAAAACCTCTGATCCTGGATATAACAGAATGTCACCCAGTGGCTAATCTATTACTACTTCCATGTATCTATACTCTATCTTTTCTCTAGAGCAGTGCTTCTCAACCTTCCTAATGCCATGACCTTTTAGTATAGTTCCTGTGGGTCGAGACCCACAAGTTGAGAACCACTGCTCTAGGCAATTATGCAACTCATTGGGTTTATTAAGCATGCACTGTTTGCCAGGCTCTGTTCTAGTCACTGAGGATGCTACTACCAACAAATGAATCCCTGACTTCAAAGTACACACTGTCTAAAAGGGCAGACCAGGCAAACGATAGAATGTGCTAGGCATTACAATAGGAGGCAACATGGTATATGGCATAATGGTTGCAGGCATGAAGATACAAGCCACTGCCTGGATTTATATGCCAGCTTTGCCATTCATAGGATCTCAGATGAGTTATTAAACCTTCCTGTGCCTAAATTCTGCATCTATGAAATAAGGACAATAATACCACCTGCTTTGCAGGATTGTTTTATGTGTCGAACAAATGAATATGAGTAAAGAAATCCTGGTCAAGAAAGAGCCCCTGGGGCGGTGCCTGTGGCTCAGTGAGTAGGGCACCAGCCCCATATACTGGATGGTGGTGGGTTCAAACCCTGCCCCAGCCAAAAACTGAAAAAAAAGAAAGAAAGAAAGACCCCCTGATAGAATGAGAGAGAGAGGGGTGGTAAGGAAACAGGATAACACCCAGAATTGTGGCTGATCAGATAGGGGTGCCATTTACTGAGATTTGGGACAAAGGATAAATAGAAGGCCTGAAGTTCAGTCATTAATTTATTTGAATTTATTAAAGTGACCTTTCTGAGAACGTTTAATGACTACTACTCTCTACTGTCTACTGCTATCAACTCATTGCCAAGAACTACAGTAAGTGCTGTACCTGAATTATCTCATTTAATTTTCACAGTAACCCTGGAAGTTAGGACCATCATTATCACCTGAGGCTCAGAGAGATAATTACCGTACCCAACATCCTCAGCTTAGTTAGTGATGGAGCAAGGCTTTGAACTCAAGTTCAACTCCAGAACCTGTGCTTTCTTTGCTGATTTTCATTTAAGTGCAGATGTCTAGTGTATAGTTAATGCATTTAGGATGGAGGTCTGGGCTGGTGATTTGTATTTGGCATTCATCAGCAAAAGGTGCTAGCTGAAGTCATGGGAACAGAAGAGATCGTCCCAAGAGAGTCTGTGACTGCTGAGAGAAGACAGCCAAAGACAGAACCCTGAAGAAAACAGATGGTTCCCTACTTATGATGGTTCGATTTGAGATTTTTTGACTTTACAATGGTGCAAAAACACAAACACTTTCAAAAGAAATTATACTTCATGAGTGGCGCCTGTGGCTCAAAAGGGTAGGTGGCAGGTTCAAACCCAGCCCAGGCCAAAAAAAAAAAAAAAAAGAGTACTCATACAACTGTTCTGTTTTTCACTTTCAGTACAGTGTTCAATAAGTGAATGAGATATTCAGCATTTATTATAGAATAGACTTTGTGCTAGTGAGCAATTCTTAACCTGTGGGTCGTGACCCCTTTGGGGGTTGAACGACCTTTTCACAGGGGTCGCCTAAGACCATCCTGCATATCAGATATTTACATTGCGATTCATAACAGTAGCAAAATTACAGTTATGAAGTAGCAAGGAAAATAATTTTATGATTGGGGTCACCACAACATGAAGAACTGTATTAAAGGGTCACAGCATTAGGAAGGTTGAGAACCACTGTGTTAGATGATTTTCCCCAACTGTAGGCTAGTGTAAAAGTGTTCTGAGCACATTTAAGGTAGGCTTGGATAAGCTAGGATGTTCAATAGATTGGGTGTAGTAGATGCATCTTTAACATATGACGTAACTCCTTTACAAGTTGAAGTGCATCTGTACTCAACATTTTAATAATGGACAAAAGAGGAGAAATCTTCCCATGAGACTGAAGAAAAATAGCTGGAATAGTAGGAAGAAAAGCAAAGGAGTGGAAGGGTTTAGAGACAAAGGAGTGATCCACAGGGTCAAGTGCTGCAGAAAGGACAAGACAGAAGGACTGAAAAGTGTAAATTAGGTCTAACCATAGGTGATTTCTGGTGACCTTGACCTTCCACTTGCAGTGGAGTGATGGGGATGGAAACCAGACTGTCTTAATCCATTTGAGCTGCTAAAATAAAATACCATAAACCAGGTGGCTTAGAAACAACAGAAATGTATTTCTCACAGTTCTGGAAACTTAAAGTCCAAGATTAGGTGTCAGCATAGTTAGGTTCTAATTAGGGGCCTCTTGGGGGTTGCAGACAGCTGACTTCTCCAAGGGTGGCATGACAGAAGGGGCAAAGGAGCTCTCTTGAGCCTCTTCTAGGAATGGCATTAATCCCATTGCTGAGGGCTCTGTTGTCATGACCTAATCATGTCCCCAAAGTCTAACCACCTAATTCCATCACCTTGGGGCACAGGATTTGAACGGATGAATTTTGAGGAGGCACAAACCTTGAGACCATAACACAGACTATAATAGGATTCAGAGGGAAAAGGAGCTAGCTCCTACATGTTCTATACAATGCTAGAATCTGATATAGAGATGAATGAGAAATGGCCCCTGAACTCCTTTTATTCTTTTTTTTTTGAGACAGAGCCTCAAGCTGTCGCCCTGGATAGAGTGCTGTGGCATCACAGCTCACAGCAACCTCCAACTCCTGGGCTCAAGGGAGTCTCCTGCCTCCGCCTCCCAAGTAGCTGGGACTACAGGC